TCTCTCTCTCTCTCTCTCTCTCTCTCTCTCTCTCTCTCTCTCTCTATCTATCTATCTATCTATCTATCTATCTATCTATCTGTGTGTGTGTGTGTGTGTGCTGTATCTATCTATCTATCTATCTATCTATATATCTATCTATCTATCTATCTATCTATCTATCTGTGTGTGTGTGTGTGTGTGCTGTATGTCCATGTCTGTGTTTGTGTATGCGCTGGTGAGCATTGATGTGTGTGGGAATTTGTGCATTGTGTGCACTGATTTGCGGAGGCCAGGCAAGGGGAAGATGGAAACTGTGAAGAGGAGCATAGAGAGTTAGATGGGCAGAGAGGTAGAGATGCAAGCGATGTGGAGATGGCAAAAGAGTGGTCAGATGATTTGGTGGCATCATGTGCTGGGATGAATTCATAGGGAAAATTGGATTCATTTTTTTCGCATTGAATTTATGTTGACACCCGGGATAAGGCCGGAACTGTAGGGAATCGACTGAGTAAGAAAGTCGTGAAACCAGGGCAGTCGGTTAGTGTGTAGGGTTTTAATATGCATTTGTGAGCTGTTGCTAGGAGAGTCGTTGATCAGGTCATGGGCAATTCAGAAGCCTTTCTTTCTTTCTTTCTTTCTTTCTTTCTTTCTTTCTGTTTTCTTTTTTCTTTTTCACTATTCCTTTCTTTTTGATACGTCGGCATCGTTGCGTTCTCGGAAGTTTGCGCTTTCAAGTTACGTTAGTTACTCTCTGTGACATGGTGGGTCAGCGATTAGGTCTTTAAGAAAAACAGTGTTTCAAGCTAGTTGGCTAGTTAGTTACTCTCCGTGATATGGTGGTTCAGCTATTTGAACGCGTAGACAGACCTTCGGGTGGGCAAGACAGCAGCTATTATGTACGTGGATGCGCAAGGGGGGGACGATATCAAGGTCGGTAGACAGACCTTAGGGTGGGCAAGCAGCTATGCACGTGGACGTGCAAGTGTGCAAGGGGACGATACCAAGGTCGGAAGATAGATCACTACGACGGCCAGAGGAATTCAGTGCCCATTTGAATGGGTAGACAGACCTTGTTATGCGGTGGGCATACATTATTGCGCTGATCAGAGTTATTCGGTGGCCATTGGAGAGGCTGGGGCATTCATTACCTTGTTGTATACTAAGGTACAGCCAGCTGGATATACATGTGTTATGTCGGCAATTATCGTCGTAACTTGTGGAGGGTTGAGCCCGTTCGCGTATAGTACGAGGGGGGGATGTCAGGAACGTAACGAGGAGGGGCTGGGGAGAGCGAGGTACTGGGTGTAAGATGATGGACGTTGCTCAGTGTCTCCGCAATGGGGGCAGCAACCAAGAAAGACATTGGCATATTACTCTGCTGACTTCAACCAGAATTCGCCTGCAGGGTAGGTAGGTATATACGGCACAACAGTCTATGTGTGATGTACCCGCCCATACACGTGGGCCTTTCAACAGCTTTTGACGCAAAGTTCTGTCGTTTCCTTGCGCAATCCCGAGGTGCGGAATCGCAAATGGTTTTAGAGGATATTGAAGCAAGGTAAACAGAGATATCATTACTTGGGAATATCATATCTGAATCTATCAAACACACAATAAGGCAGACCGGACTTGATCTTCTACTACAAATTCAGTTTGCCCGCCCGGGTTCACTATAATAATACGACACTACATAACAAACAAAGGTATCTATCGTACGTATACTCGTAAGCAGTCTGGAGTGTCGTTTGTAATATCCAAACTCACCCTGTGCTCTGTGACTTCCTGAAGAACTTGACTGCGGCCGTTGGCGACTTCTATACAACTCCACCAGACATGTATGTCATCTGTTCAAAGGCATGGGAAATTGCGGTATTTCGTGGGATCAGGGAAAAACTGGAAACAGAAAGTGAAAAATTGGACTCGGGAAAATTGTTGAAATGCCCCGGAAAGTTGGGGTATTTTCTGGGATAAGTTGGATAACCCTAAAAAGTCATGGATGGGTATGGAAAAGATGTCCCCACAAAATGCCCCTAATGACTGGTTTGAGACTGTGTGACATACCCCGCATCCCTCCCTCTTCTCTCCTATTCGCAAGGGGTTATGTTAGCAAGCATGGAGACCATCTTCCATCTTGTGCACAGCTGCAGGTTGGGGGGAAATGTTTTAAAAAAATAAATAATTTAAAAGGGTAATAAATAATACCTTTTTCGGCCTTTTGGCTAAAAATAGAATTGCACTGTATCTGCTCTGATCATCAGTTTAATAATATCTGATCCGTGGTTCATCGGTCACATTGAAAAAAAAAAAACAAAAAAACAAAGAGGCATCAGCAGCATAGGCCGTAGGGCAGTTGTAACCAGCAGCGGTTCTGAGGTCCTTCTTACACTTCTCCTTGCCGACTCCACGACACGATCTCCTGTCCGGCAAGGTCCAGTTCACTTCAGTTCCCTCCATTTGATTGTGGTCACCTGCTTTTTATTTTAAAGCCTGATCAGAATAGAGAGCGTTTGCGTATATCAAGCTTGTGAGTGAGGCTCTCTTTTTTTTGTTTCCTTCTGTTCTCTGTGCTTCCTACCTCTGTCTGACCTATATTGAATCTGCTGGCTTGGTCGAGGTTCGAAGAGAATGGTTCGTTCTGCACGGACCTGACAAATTCGTCTCTTGGAACCTCGCCGAACCTAGCAAATTGAAGACTCTCCCCGCCGACGCAAGATCGGAAGAGCTTCTGCTCCTCTTCAAACGACAAAAAACGGCAACTTCCAAACAGATCCGTGTTGCCAAGAGCTCATGCATGCAAAGCTCCATCAAAGGAGCGACACAAACCACTGCTACCTTTTGCAGGAAATGTTGAGAATCGACGATGCAACATTCCGGGTTCTCGGGAGGCGAAGAATGCTAGGGGTGCCTGCTCTTATCACCACCCCTAGCATCCACCCGGGTGATTATTAAAAAAAAAAGTAAAAAAAAAAATCCGGGTCCTACGGATGGATGAACAGTGCTACACCGGACCACAATGGCTGATGGCAGCAGGCAAAAGAGAGAGAATGAAAGGGAAAACTGCATTTGTGATGGGAATACCCGCAGTACCGGTGGACCAGCGTCCAACTTGCATCTACCCAGGTCCTGTTCGATTAAGGGCAGTACCTGTCTTATATGTACATACCAGACCCCCCGCACGCCCTTGGTCGAGGATCACCAAATTGTTCTCATGCCTAGAAACCCAGCTCGCAAAATTTTGGCTGTACACACACTGACGTGACATGTCGAAATGCACATTCCCCTTCCCCAATTCTCGTGTTCCCCGTCCTCCTTCACTTACCTTTGAGAGAGAGAGAGAGAGAGAGAGAGAGAGAACTGGGTGCACAGGCAGCTGGGCGGGCACAGACACACACACACACACACACACACACACACACAAGTGTTATGTAACTGATTGAAATTCCATCCAGCAAAGCAAATTTTACGTATTCCAGGACTCTATTATGGACCATATTCCAGGACTCTATTATGGACCAGAACCATACTTGCGGCGCATCAAGTGCGCCGCAAAGCGCATGCGCAGGTGGTGTGGCGGGTTGTCCAAAATAAAATCCAGGGGCTGGATGTTGTAGCTGGCGTTACCCGTCGTGCAAGAAAAATATCACAACAGAAGAAGAAAAACAAAATTGAGGGATGTGGATGAGAGGGTGTCAAAGATTTTGTTTTATTTGTGTACGGATGTCTTCTGGTGCATCGGGTGGGCCTTTCCCGAGGGCACACAATCCGTATATCACGTCAGATACATTTTAACTCAGATTGCATTCCCTATGGTGTGAAATATAGCGGCTATTTCTGTCGGGGAGCTTGAAAGAGAATGCCACAGAACTGACAGCAGCCGTTATTTGTTTTTGCTATTTTCCATTTTGCTAACAATAATAATAATAAAAAATAAAAAAAATAAAAAAAGAAACAAGAACGTTATGGAGGGTAGGCTAAGCGATGAGGACGTATCTATCACTAGAGCGTGGACACGTTCCCCGGCCATATGTCTGTTTTCTAGCCCCATACAGTCGTGCATAGGGCACGTTGCAGGCTGTTTGGTCTTACCTGCTGCAAGCCCGTTGGGATTCTGACAGGTTGACACAAAGACTGTATGATCTGAAGTGAAATGAACAGGAGTATGAAGCTCTGAAGAGATGCACAGGAGCATACCATCCCTTTTACTCTGCGTCCTGAAATAACGTGCAAGTGGGCCGTGAAGGCACACGGCGATGTGGGCAGCTGCCGCCCAACCATAATCAATGTGGGCAGCCTTGTACGTAAGAGGCACAGTGAAAGGGGAGCTGCAAGAACAAATGGAAGGGGTACCCCAAGGACAACCAAAAAACTGTCTAATTATAAAATTGCTTTAATATGTTGGACATCTCAAATGCTCTCGTTGTCTGCAATAGGACAAAGACTGCTTTGATTCTGAATCTATTCACCTGGGTGGAATTGGGGCTGTTGTGGGGAAAATCTAAAACACACACGCACACACACACACACACACACACACACACACACACACACACACACACACACACACACACACACACTCCCACAGGGGAAAAGAGGCACACCCGCACATGTGCGGGCACGGGATGCTATGGTGCGTATTGCCGCACACTGCAGTTGCGCGTCCAGTGCATGTGGTGCGCACGTGCGCGCACATCACCCATGTGCGCAAGGCGCATGACGCACCGCAGCGCACCGCATGGCGCATCGAATAGGTGCGCCGCAAGTATGATCAGAACTTTGTGCACAAGCAAATGTAACATATAGTTGCTCATTTATTTCTGAATGGGGAGGAAGATACATCTGCATGTTCTCATTCATGTATGCGGCGACAAAGCAGACTTGGAGAGCAAGTCCGTTACACAAAATTGGAGAGAAACTACGCAGCAGAAGCACACTACACAGAAATAGAGCTGAAACTTGATAGTGAGACTTATATTCTTAATCCCGTCCTCCTCCAATAAATCAGATGTATGGAATTCCAAGAATGCCAACCGCGTTTCAACAAACTCGAACAACTCAAAACAAATATTTCATCGAGGCAGCTGGGGACTTCTTGTTTCTGCTTCGTTCTCAGTGAAGTGCTAGCCATGGCACCCCTCCGGAAACCAGAACGCAACCGACGAAGCCTCCAGACCACCAGCACCACCTCCCACACCCGAGCGCCAATCGAGAGAACACATAGATCCCCGTTTGCGGAGTAGGTGCGCAACTAGGAGGGCAGCGCCAGCTCCCTAGACGAAGAACTCCCTGCGCAAAGAAGAAAACCAACAACTGCCATGAAGAAGATGTTATGGCAGGGCCCAACCCCAACAGCACAGTCGTTGCGTCGCCATGTCAGCGCTGCCGCGGCCTCGGCTATGGTACAGCTCCTCTCAGGTGCGGCGGCGTCAACCGCAACATCCAAACAGAAGCAGCACATGTCCCTCCGCCGCCCGAATTCACCGTCAAAGAACCCATCCTTCTTCGGACCCAACCTATTCCTAGACACTGTACACTGTACAGTCTACCGGACGCATGGGCCTCTATGACCCACTCCTCCACAAACAACACAGGCCGAACCTTTCCAGCAATGGTATCGCTACCAGGCAGCGGAAGGAATGACCTCGTGCCCGGGAATTCTAGTAGTTGACGGAAATGTCCCTGTCGAACTAGGCCTGTTGCAGAAACTGGTTAGGCGGACCTAAAACTTCGGAAAATTGCGAAATGACTTGGTTACTTTTACGAACTATGGAATCCGCAAGTTCATTGCACGAGAACGTGTGGGCATTGACACCGTGATTGTACGCGAGGGAAAGAGATGTGCCTTTGTTGTTAACGGGTGTACAAGCCAACGGGCGCATGATGTGTCATGTGCGCGTTTGCTTTTCGGTAGTACAGAGAATTTGCCCAAAAAAGAGTGCTTAAACCAATCATCATATCGTTGACCAAATATCCTACAAAAGACTTCCGAAAGCCGAAAGTATGGCCTTGGAGGCTTTGAGTATTAACAAACACACAATGGGAACAGTTGAATTGTATGCGTTCAACGAGCAGCTGTGTGTGTGTGTGTGTGTGTGTGTGTGTGTGTGTGTGTGTGTGTGTGTGTGTGTGTGTGTGTGCACACGCCATAGCGCCGGACCCTAAGAAAACCCCAGAACGAGCTGTGAGACGAGCGTTCAAGCCATAAAGCAGCTGGTGAATTGTCTGGACTTGCATGCCTTCAGGTTAATATCGAGTTGCAATTGCCAGTTCTTTGGTGCCATTTTTATCCTTTCTTCAACCAAAGAACTTCATGCATAAGGGGGAAGATATTTCACAAATCATCGTTGTCATATCTGTGGTGTCTCTTAGAGTGTACCCATCTCCATTCCCAGAGGTGTTTAATGGGGACCCCCACTTTCAGCTCCTGACTAACTGGTCCATAACTGAAATTAGGTTTTTTTTTACGATTGAACTTTCATGGTTTTATTATTATTATTATTATTATTATTACTTGCCTGTTTTTGTTTTGGTTCAAGTTTGCTGTGTGCCAAATTTGGTATCATATAATTTTGGCAAGTTTGGTTAAAACGGTCCTTGGGTTTTGTTATGAATGGCATGACAAGTTCATATGGTCTCCACTGTACGAATTGGTGGCAAGTTTGGTTAACAAAATGATCCTTGTTTTTTTTTTATGAATGAATGGCTTGACAACATT